GAATGGCGTCGGCAGTCAAGGCCCCCTGTGGAAGACCCTCCTTCAGCAATGCCTCGAGGTCTCCCCCGATGAAGGTATTCACATGTATTCACTACACTGGGGCACGCCAGCATGCCTCCAAAATCGTCCGGGTGTTTCTGGCCGCTCCCAGTTGGGTTTTAACGCAGATGCACCTCTCGGCGAGCGTCAAGGACCTCCGCGAGACCCCCGGGCTGAGAGGCATCTCTGACCGCGCGCCTCTACAGATTGCTCTGCGTCACCGTCCGCCGCAGCCGTCCCTCTCCCAGCCGATCCCGCAAGCGATCTTCAAGCACCCTGATTTCCAGAAGTTCCTTGAGGAGTGTTGGGCCTCCCTGGACCTCTCCCTCACGACCCCTCCTGTGCGACTTGGGCTATGCAAGTTAGTCTTACGAGAGGCTGCGCGATATACCAGGAGTTCTATGTTCAGGAACGACCCGAATACGACAGCGACTACGTTGATTCTTCTTCGCTCGATTGCCCGATCGGTTTGGAGACAGGATATGAGTCTTGCCCGTCGTCATTTACGTTATGAGCTTGCCAGAGAGCACCTAACAATCGACCCGGCCACGAATCGCATCTCCCTCTCCTGCCCTGCTCTCTTTTCTGATGCCCTGGACGCACTTCAACTTGCTGATGCTGAGGAGGCCCAGCGTCTTGCACGGGATCGCTTGCAGTCGAAGGACTTGCAGGTGCAAGCCAGGGCTCGCAAACGTGCGCGACTACTCGCGGAGCGCAGTAGGCTTTGGGCGCCGTTTCACCGTTCAGTCATTCTCGTGGGGTTGCGTACTGACGGAAACGCCCTCACCTCTCCCTCGCAAGTCTCCCAGAAGACCACTGAGCATTGGGGTCAGGCTTTCGAGCCGAAGGTGATCGGCTGTCGACTTCGGAGCCGCCGCTGCGGCGGTCGCCGACAGAGGGGAACAACAAGTGACATAAACATAACACTCGGACGGCCCAAGAGGGCACCAAGACAGCCCAAGAGGCCCCCGGGACGGCCCACGAGGGCCCCAGGACGGTTCCAACAGAGGGCCCAGAGGGGGAACCTCAACGGACATTCCGACTTTCAACTCCCAAAAAGCCTTCAGGAGGGCCTCAGGGGCTCCCAGGAAGCTCCCAAGAGGCCCCAAGAGAGCTCCAAGAGGCTCCCAAGAAGCCCCCAGGAGGTCCATGAGGACTCCGTCCGACCCAAAACCCAAGCACGGTGGCGGGATGGGGCGACGGCTATTTGATAGCTGGCATACGCGCCGCGTCACGACTTTCGATGCTGCGCACCTCCTCGAAAAACCCCCAGGGAGCGGCCGGTGATGCGCCGCCGGCGTCCTCGATAAACATAAACACTCGGAGGTCCGCACGGATTTCTCGGATCGGCGCTGGGGCCCCCCAGCAGCGCCTGCGGCGCCGCCCCTGGCGCGCTCCGCGCGCCAGGAAGGGGGGTCCAGCGCCGATCCGAGAAATCCGCGCGGACCTCCGAGTCTTTATGCTTATGCCACTTTTTGTTCCCCTAGACTTGGGCCCCGGCTCCCCAGACCTTGAAAACTGCTTTCTCGCGCTTCGCGCGAGGGCGGCTGGGCGTCATGCAGCCTGCCCGCCATCAGCACCTGCTGCTGCCCCAGCTCCCCAGAGGTCCAGCGCATGGAAGAAATCAAGACGGAGGTTTGTCACCGTTTTCGGCCTCCAGAGGCCCTCGTAGGGCCTCGGGGCCGTCCAAAGAACGACTCAGGACGAAATGGCGGTCCTGGGGAATGGGTCGAGGCTTCCGGGGGCCCCGCACTGAAAAATTCACGGCATCCGATGTCTGGGTCTGGAAGACTCCACTAGACTTCGATTTCGGTCCGGCTATCCGATGCCGTGCTGGCCTCTCGGCCCCCATGCGGCCAGCCTGGCCCCAGCGCGTGGCTTCGGAAGCCCTGCCAGAGCTCGCAGCCAGTCTGATCGGCCGGGATGGCTGGACCGGCCCCGCAACCAGCCTCTCTCCATCATGGCCCATCATGGCCCCAGCTGCTAAGCAGGACAGTCATGCACTCCAGCGGCGTAGTCCACTGAGCATAGATGGCCATGGGATGGCACGGGGTCTTGTGGGACATTTTTGCTTCTGGGGAGAGTGTCGCTCCAGTTCGAGTGATTATACCCGCTGTCGTTGATCCAGATGTTGTTCTAGTATTGAGTGTCGACAGCATATGAGGCGTTCCAAAAATGTCCTTGCCGTCGAGGATCGAAAGAGTTGTCAACTCTTCCGCAGCGGAACGGCGGCGGAAGGTCTGCGGAAGTACAACGAGGCCGTCTCCGCCGGCGGAAGCTGGCGGAAGGCGGCAGAAGTAACCGCGTGCCCCGGAAAATAAAACATACCCCCGTTTTCACGATCCTCACCGGCCAAAATAGTTTTGGTCAGCGGTGGGGAGCGGCGGGGCCGAACTTCATTATCGCCAGAGGAAGTATGCATCGTAGATCGAATATTCTCATCATGGTCGTCATCATCATCATCATCATCATCATCATCATCATCATCATCATCATCATCATCATCATCATCATCATCATCATCATCGTCATCATCATCGTCATAATCATCATCATGATCGTCAGGGAGGCCCCGCCGCAGCGAGCAGGACATCGCTAGATCATAGCATTTCTCAGGATTCACACTTATCCCACCTCTCCAGGGAGGCCCCGCCAGAGCGAGCGGGGCATCGCCATACCATAGCATAGCTCCGAATCTATACTCTCTCACCCCTCCAGGGAGGCCCCACAAGAGCGAACACGGTATCGTTATACCACGAGACGAGCCGTTCGCTCCTCCTCCTCCTCCTCCTCCTCCTCCTCCTCCTCCTCCTCTTCCTCCTCCTCCTCCTCCTCCTCCTGCTCCTCCACCTTTATGCTGCGACCTGCCAGGAACAGTTTATCATCCCGCGGGAACCCCGAATTTTGTTATCCCCACCCTGTGATTATCGGGGGCAGAGGGTTCAAACATGCGCCCCCAAGAGACGGCAACGTTTTTGGGTTCACGGTTTTCGGAATTGCACATCTGTCCGCGCTTGCTCCAGGCACTCGTTCGCACCCAGGGTCCCCGAACAAACAGTCCAGGTGTGCCACAAGCAGACACGAGTTGCCCGCATGGCCAGCGCTGTCTTGTTGTGTTGAGGGCGAGAGTCGTTTTTTGGTCGGGCCCGGAGTGGTCTGGTCGTCGTCGTCGGCATCGTTGTCGTCGTCGTCGGCGTCGTCGTCGTTGGAATGAGCTGATCGCAAGTCGTCAGCGTTGTGTTCGTCGACGTCGTCGTCGTCGGTTTGCCATGGGGACTGTTAGAGTTCGATTGCAGTCGAGCATCGGGTTGGGAAACCTCCTTCCGAACAGTTGGGCCAGCGTTTCTCAGCCAACTTTCGGGAACGCTGGCCCATGTTTCTGGTGCACGCTCGCCCCGTCCGGCGTTAACAGGAGCAGTTGGCCCAGGACTGCTTCTAGGATCTTCTGGGAAGCTGGCCCGGATGTCTTGAATCGTGAGTTTCTTGATCATAGTTTCGGCTGTGAGTGCATCTTTCCCTTTTCGCACGTTAGTCTTAAGTCGGGCTGGCCCCTCTGCAGGAGGATTCTTCAAAACTAGTCAAAAGATGGTCAGGGGACATTTTTTTTGGAGTATGCTTGAATATTTGTTGGGGTATTATTAATTTTTCGTCCAAGATCCCCCTGTAGGGGGATATGCCCGACCTAACGTTAGTCTCCACCAGCAGGCCTCTCGAAGGTCGTGGAGTGCTGCCAGCCCCTGCTGTTCGAGATAGTGGGCTTCCTGGCGCAGTCGCCCAAGGACACCCCCTGTAGGAATGCGTGGGGGAAGCCTGCAGCCTAGAGCTGGCGGGAGGAAGAGCGGAGGAATTCCGCGCGCTCCACTCCTTCAGTTCCCCCCTCCTGCTCACCCTCCTCCTCCTCCTCCTCCTCCTCCTCCTCCTCCTCTTCCTCCTCCTCCTCCTCTTCCTCCTCCTCCTCCTCCTCCTCCTTCTCCTCTGCTCACGCTCCTCGCTTCCGCCCCTCTTCCTGCCCCTGCTCCGCCTCCTGCTCCTGCTGCTGCGCCTCCTGGATCCCAGCTTCACTGGAAAGCCGCTCACGCGTGGGGCGTGCCTCAGAGTCCACCCATTTCGAGGGTTACTTCTGTCAGCGTCTGCACCGAGAAAAGCATGAAGCCCAATTGGACATGAGCCAGGCCTGCCCATGTCATGCCGCCGCCTCCTTCTGTGTGCACCTGTGTGTGTGTGTGTGTTTGTATGTGTGTGTGTGTGTTGTGTGTGTTGTGTGTTGTTTGTGTGCGTGTGTGTGTGTGTGTAGCGGAGCCTGGAGGCCCCGGCTGGCGCAACCCCTCCCCCACGGGGATGGCCGATGCTTGGTGGCCAACGGTCGTCCTCGGGGTGCTGACGCAGAGCGCTGTTGGATCGCGCCGGCCCCCCAGCCAGGCTTCGCGCTCGGACTCCTCCTCCTCCTCCTCCTCCTCCTCCTCCTCCTCCTCCTCCTCCTCCTCCTCCTCCTCCTCGCTGGAGGGCGCGCGCTGCTCCCGTGCCGGCCGCCGCCCCCGGCATCCTTCCGCGGCCGGTGCTGCTCTCCCCCGCCCTGCCCCCCGGGGGCGGCGGATCGGTGGGCCGGCGCGTTGTTTTGTGTTGGGTTCTCGGCGCGCTCGGCTCGAGGAGGAGCCTCGCCGTGTCAAGCAGCGGCGAGGCGGCGCCCCGGCTCGCCCTTCGGGCCCACCAGAGAATGTTCCAAGAGCCTCTCGTAGTCTGCACGAGACGTTGTCGGAGCACGTCTGGCTGGAAGCGTCTTGTTTTAGCACATCGGGCTTCTGTTCCAGGAGCTTTGTTTTTGTTGTCAAAGCGCTCGTGGGTCCTAAAGAAGATCTCGTGTTGGGCCTATAGGGATGCCGGGACGGTCGGTCCCTGCTCCACCATGGGGCTCTTCCCCCCTCCACGTGCCGACATTCGCGCGTGAGCTTTCTGCGTAAGGTCGCGCGCAAGCGCCCTCTCTCCTGGAGCAGCGCGCCGCGCTGGCGGCCCGCGCGGGCCTCCGCGTCAGGTCGTTTGGCCATCGCGCGGCGCAGGGCCAATTTCTGCTCGTCGCTCATGTGCCGCCCTTAACGCCGAAGGGTCCTCCCACCCCGTTGCTCCGCAACCACGGGCCCCGCCAGCGACACTCCGACACCCTTGAGGCCAGGGGCCATGGCAAGTCTCTCCCCCCCGCCGGGGCGCAGGGCGCCCTCTGCCCTCGGGAGCCTCGAGACGGGGGTCAGTGCAAACGGGGGTCAGCCAGGGCGCCAGATCCTGCAGGATCCTGCAAAGACCCCCTCTGGCTGACCCGGGTTAGGGAGCCGCTCGTGGCCGCGAGGCGGCCGCGCCTATTGGCTGACCCGGGTTTGCGAAGATCTGCGTTGCAGTTTTTTTTCCTGCATTGCAGTTTTTGGTTTCCTGCTGACCCGGGTCTGGATTGACCCGGGTCAGAAGATCCCCGATGCCCCACCGACATTGTCCCGCCGTCGCCGCTTCCCGGCCACGCCATCACGCACGCAGCGACGCGGCGCGCGTCGCGTCGCGGAGGAGGAAGAAGAGGAAGAGGAGGAGGAGGAGGAGGAGGAGGAGGAGGAGGAGGAAGAGGAGGAGGAGGAGGACGACGACGAGGACGAGGACGAGGAGGAGGCGGTGAAGGAGGAGGAGGAGGAGGAGGAGGAGGAGGAGGAGGAGGAGGAGGAGGAGGAGGAGGGGGAACTCTGGCATTTGTGGCGTGTCGCGGCGGAGGCAGGCGGGGAAGCGCCTGGGGGAGCCGCCGAGAGGCCACCGCAGCGGCCAGGGGGGACCCGCGCTGCCCGGCGGGGAGCACGGGGCGGGCCCGGCGGGGAGCCACACTGTGCGGGCGCCCCTCGGGCGGCGGCGGCCAAGCGAGGGGGCGAGCGAGGACGCGACCAGCGGGGGGACGACTTCGGGGGGGGGGGGCAGCGAAGCAGCGCACATGGGCGCGCCTGTACACGACCAGTGGCGGACCGCGAGGGGGCGGCAAGTGCGGCGCAGCGAGGACGACACACCTGCTGGAAGGACCGCGAGCCCGCAGGGCGGCAAAGGGAGACAGTAACACGCGCGCGCGCCACACACACGCACACGCACATTCACACATACACATACACATACTCATACACATACACATACACATACACACACCACACCACACACCACACACCACACACCACACACCACACACACCACACACACACACACACACCACACACCACACACCACACACACACACACCACACACCACACACCACACACCACACACCACACACCACACACCACACACCACACACCACACACCACACACCACACAACACGCACACCACACACCACGCACCACACACGCACACACACACACACACCACACACCACACACCACACACCACACACCACACACCACACACCACACACCACACACCACACCCGCGCAAAGCACTAATTGGGGAGAGGGCGCGGGCGGGCGGGGCCTCAGGCGGCCGGAGGGCGTGGGGTGCAGGCGGTGCCGAAGAGCCTGCACAGGAAAGGGACGCCTTGGACAGGAGCCGGAGGCGAAGTCCCGGAGGGAGAGCGAAGTGGTGTTGCCGTCCACGGCGCGTCGGAATCACCATCCTCGAGTGCTGCGTGGGGAGGGACGTGACCAGGTCGACGCCCGAATTTCACAACACACACACACACACACACGCGCACACGCACACGCAACACACACACAAACACACCACACACACAACACACAAAGCACAAAACACACACACAGCACACACACAACACACACACACAGCACACACACAGCACACACAACACACACACACAACATACACACAACATACACACAACACGCACACACATACGCGCAGTGGAAGCCGCCTTCGAGACGCGCCCCCGGGGGGCCATCCGTTCCGCGGACGTCTGCCACGAGGTCGCCGCAAGACGTATGGGGGGGGGGTGGCTATGCCGCGTGGGAGTGCGCGCCCCGGCTCCTCTGGCGACCGCTGCCGCCCCCGTGCGCGCGGCTCTTCTCTCCCCCCCCCGTGGTGGAGGAGGAGGAGGAGGAGGAGGGTAGGTGGAGGACGGGAGTGAGGTGTTGGCGGAGGAAGGAGGAGAGGAGGGGAGGAGGAGGAGGAGGACGAGGACGAGGAGGAGGAGGTGGAGGAGGAGGAGGAGGAGGAGGAGGATGAGAGAGGAGGAGGAGGAGGGGTGAGGAGGAGGTCGGGAGGGTGGAGGCGGAGGGGAGGGGAGGAGGAGGAGGGGAGGAGGAGGAGCGAGAGGAGGAGGAGGTGGAGGGGAGGGGGAGGAGGAGGAGGAGCACGACGAGGACGAGGACCGCCGAGGGCACGCCGCCTCTCCTGCCCGCCACCCGGCCGCCGGGCAGAAACCCCCCCCGCCGTGCCGCCCGCCGCCCTCGCCGCGCCGGGGGGGCTTCTCCGGCGGAGCTCCCTGCCTTGGCATCGCTCGGACGTGTGCATGTTTCCTTCGGCGAGGACCATCGAGGAGGAGGAGGAGGAGGAGGATAAGGAGGAGGAGGAGGGGGAGGGGGAGGAGGAGGAGGAGGGGAGGGGAGGAGGAGGGAGGAGGAGGAGGAGGAGGAGGAGGGGAGGGAGGAGGAGGAGGAGGGGAGGAGGAGGAGGACGACGACGAGGACGACGAGGACGAGGACCGCCGAGGGCACGCCGCCTCTCCCTGCCCGCCACCCGGCAGCCGGGCAGATGCCCCCCGCCGACACCGCCCGCCGCCCTCGCCGCGCAGGGGGGGGCCTCCTCCGGCGTGAGCTCCCTGCCTTGGCATATCGCTCGGACGTGTGCATGCTTCTCGGCGGCGGCGACGGACCATCGAGGAGGAGGAGGAGGAGGGAGGAGGAGGGAGGAGGAGGAGGAGGCAGGAGGTTAGGAGGAGGAGGAGGTGGAGGAGGGAGGAGGAGGAGGAGGGGGGGGGGAGGGGAGGGTGGGAGGAGGAGGAGGAGGAGGACGGAGTGGAGGAGGAGGATGGAGGAGGAGGAGGAGGAGGAGGAGGAGGAGGAGGATCGAGGAGCATCCTTGATCATTTGGCGAAAAAAAAATTCACGCGCGAAACAGACAAAAACAACGCAGGGAATGGACGTCCGAGCGAAGGCCAGCTGCAAGGGGGGGCCCATGCCAAGAGACGCCCTGCTTGCCTCCGGGGTGCCCTGGGTTTCTTGGGCGTCGACGGTGTTTTTTTTTTTGTTCTCCCTGGGGGGCCCAAAGGATATACACCACCACCACTTCGATTCCTCCTCTCTCCTCTTGCCAGCAAGGGGGAGGTGGGGAGGGAGGTGGTGGTGGTGTATATTTTTGGGCCTCCCACCCGTCTCATCAGGTGGGTGTCTTGTTTTTCCCCATGTCCGAAGATGGTGTCGATGGTTTCTGTTTACGGGAGACGGGGCGTTCCCACACCACAGATCGATGGACGTCTCTTCGGGTCTCGGGGTTGGGTTTCTCGTGGAGGGTTTCTTGTGGACGGGCCCCTGCTGTATGGGGCCGCGAAGCGCTGCACTGGGTGGGGGAAGCGCGCATGCGCACCATGCCGCTGGAGCCTTCGGAGGAGCTCCCCGTGGGGCCACGAAGCGTGCGAGGGTGTGCCCAAGTGGAGCGGGGGCGGCACGCCAACGCAGCCACTCCCGCTCCCGTGCCCGGCGCCCCTGGTCACTGCCCCCGCCCCTCCCGCGACGGGCACGCCTCCGACAACGGCACGTGCATTGTTCGCAGCGACCGCTGCCTCGCACGTGGTCGCAGCTTCACGCCATCGCCCTCTCGAGGCAGCTCCGCATGCGGACGACGCGTCCCCTCGCCTCCTCTCCGTGGCGCGCTGCAGCCCTGGCCCGCTCCGTGGTCAGATCCGGCCACTCCGACGCCCTGCGGGCCCCCCTCAGAGCCTCTGACCTTGCTGATCAACGTTTGGTTTGCTCTTGCGGCTGCCTCCTTGTCTGTCGAGGTCGCGCCTGGGTTCGTCGCATGGTTCGCGGCGTCGCCGCTGCCACGAGCCTATGGAGTGCCTCTGGGAATCTGGGCACTGACAGAAATTTTGCGAGAGTAGCCGTGTCTGCTCCTATCCAGGGGCATCCATGGGGACGCGGACGGAGGTGGGGAAGGGGATGGGATTAATGGGAATGCACATAGGAAAACGGTGGGCTTTCTCTGTTCTTGCGACCGCTTTGCTCAGGACGTCGCGTTCCTCTGTGGGATGTCTGCACGGTTCGTGAACATCCAGATCAGGCGTCTTGCGTGCTTTGTTGGGAGGGCGCAGGGGTGCGGGAAATAGCGCCTCAGTGTAGCTCAGAGTATGCTGTGCGAGTGGATTGTATAGCGGCATGTTGGTTGGCAGCGTCATTTATCATGTAGCACCACATGTTTGTTGCTCGATGTACGCTCGCTTGTCGTGCAACCTACATTATTCGGCACCGCTGCCCACTGAAAGCAGGTACAAGTTTGATATGATATTTCGTCCGTCGACACTGTCGTGAGATGTGTAGCCAAGTGAAGGCCAGTGGCGAACTCCATCTGGAAAGACCTGTACGCCCAGGCCAGAACCGACTGACGCATGAAGCCCTCCTATGCAGATGGACAGCGCTGACGCAGTATGGTATAGCACAAGTCGAAAACTATGGCTCATAATTGAACTTCCACTTGGAACGCCTGTCAGCACCATTCGATGATAGCTCGCACTTCTTCGCACTAATGTTACATTTGCCTGCGCTTACCGTGATCATCCAGTCTAGGGGTTGTTGGGTGCGCAATTCGTCCATCAGCCGCTACATCAAAGTGGAACGCGCAGTGCGACGTTGATTTGGGCGGGCCGTATGTTTTGGATTACTGTGGGTCGGTCCTGGGATGCATGAACACAATTGTGCTGGTCATTTGTAGGCGCTCCTGTTCTGGTGGCTCCTGCATGCAACGTCCACTTTCCCGACTGCAGCTCGCGCGCTCGTCATTGCAGCTGCCAGTGTCGCAGTTGCCGTCGCAGAGTGCCTCTCTCCCTAGACCGCGAATGCGATGTGAGGGGTAATGGGGGTCGACTTGCGTTCAACGGGCCCGCATCGGAGGACTTTTTTGTTCCGTCGGCGGCGAGGCGGGACAATCCGCTCCAGCGTGGCAGCGATGGTTCTGAGAAGCAGACTGCGAGCAGAAATCTGCCGCCCGAGTGCCGTGCCGCGCTGCGCCGTGCCCGCTTGCCGTTCCCCGCTCGCGTGCCGTGCCGAGCCTCGGCTTCTAGATGCAGACAGTGTGCCGTGCCGTGCCGTGTCCGCGCGGTGTGACGTGCTGATGATGATGATGATGATGATGATGATGATGCTGATGATGATGATGATGACGATGATGATGATGATGATGATGATGATGATGATGCTGATGCTGAGGCTGATGCTGATTATGATGATGACGAATGGCGATGATGATGATGATGATGATGATGAGGATGATGACGATAAGATGCTGATAATGAGATAATAACGAAGACGATGAAGACACGATGATGATGATTGTGGCTGATGATGATCATGATGATCAATGATGATGAGGATGATCTATTGGATGCTGTATGATCTGCTTGCTGATCATGATGACTCTGCTGATGATTATGACGAATATGATTGATGATGATGAGAGGATGTATGGAGAAGACGAGGATGATGATAGGCATGATAATGATGATTGATGATGCTTTATGAGGATGCTGTTGATCATGCTGATGAAATGATTGAGGAGAATAGATATGAATGACGATTGATGATGATGATGATGGATGATTGACGATGACGATGCTCGATGACGATGACGATGACGACGACACGACGACGATGATGATGATGATGAATGATGATGATGATGATGATGATGGTGATGATGATCATGATGATCATGATGAGGAGAATGATGATACTGATGCTGATGATGCTGATGATCATGATGATGCTGCTGCTGAAGATGATGACGATGACGATGATGACGAGGAGGATGAGGATGACGAGGATGAGGATGAGGATGATAATGATGATGATGATGATGATGCTGATGATGATGATGATGACGATGACGATGCTGGTAACGATGACGATGACGATGACGACGACGACGATGATGATGATGATGATGATGATGATGGTGATGATGATCTTGATGATCATGATGAGGAGAATGATGATACTGATGCTGATGATGCTGATGATCATGATGATGATGCTGCTGATGATGATGACGATGATGATGATGAGGAGGAGGATGAGGATGACGAGGACGAGGATGAGGATGATAATGATGATGATGATGATGATGATGATGATGATGGTGATGATGATAATGATTATGACGATGATGATGATGATGATGATGATGCTGAGGATCATGATGATGATGCTCCTGATGATGATGACGATTATGATGATGAGGATGAGCATGAGGATGATGATGAGGATGAGGATGAGGATGAGGATGATGATGATGATGACGATGACGATGATGATTATGAGGAGGAGGATGAGGATGACGAGGATGAGGATGAGGATGATAATGATGATGATGATGCTGATGATGATGATGATGATGACGATGACGATGCTGATAACGATGACGATGACGACGACGACGACGATGATGATGATGATGATGATGGTGATGATGATCATGATGATGATGATGAGGAGGATGATGATACTGATGCTGATGATGCTGATGATCATGATGATGCTGCTGATGATGATGATGACGATGATGATGATGAGGAGGAGGATGAGGATGACGAGGATGAGGATGAGGATGATAACGATGATGATGATGATAATGATGATGACGATGATGATGATGCTGAGGATCATGATGATGATGCTCCTGATGATGATGATGACGATTATGATGATGAGGATGATGAGGATGAGGATGATGATGAGGATGAGGATGAGGATGAGGATGATGATGATGATGATGATGATGATGACGATGATGATGATGATGAGGAGGAGGATGAGGATGACGAGGATGAGGATGAGGATGATAATAATGAGGATGATAATAATGATGATGATGATGATGATGATGATGATGATGATGATGATGATGATGATGATGATGATGATGATGATGACGATGATGGCGATGATGACGCTGATGACGTGCCGTGCCCGAGTGTTCCGGAATGCGGAACACGGTGCCGTGCAGTGCCGCGCCCGGGCGCCGCGCCGTGCCGTACGCCGCGCGCCGCGCCGTGCCGTGCGGAAGGCGTGCCGTACGACGCGCTGCGCCGCGCGCGTGCCCTGCGCGCGTGCCATGCGCGCGTGCCGCGCTGTGTTTCGTCGGGCCTGTCGGTCTACAGGGGGGATATTCCCAAACAGTCAAAAAATAGTCTGGGTACGACTTGTCGAAGCCTTGTCTTGACCACGTTTGAATCGTTTTTGTTGGGGCTGGTTTCAATTTTTCGTTCAAGATCCGCCTGTAGGGGGA